CGGCTATTCACCCAGGCGTCTGCTCCACCTGAAGTCAAGCTCGATCCTCAGGACAACTTCCCATCTGCCTCGCCTCAGGTTAAATGCAGCGTGTTGGCCAGCAAGACCTCAGGATGACTTCGACACCGCGTGATACAGAGGACCACATGGACCAGTCACAGAACCCGCGTGGCTCGGCTCCGGCCGAACCCAACGACCAAGCCAATGGGAAGATTTCGCGGCGTATACGGAGACGATGCCCCTGCCAGCCGCCGGCCACATGAAAACACGGGCAGTCTCCAACCACCACCACCCCCTCGTCCCGCGGACACCGGGAACGAGTACACAGCCGCCGTGCCAAACGGATATGGCCCAGCTTCCGTGCCCCGTCCGCCCGAGCTCAACGACCCAGCCATCGTGAGCTATTCGGTGCGCAGAGCGAACGCGAGCAGGCTGCAGCCACTCCGTCTCGAGGACATGCTGAATGATCGGGCGGCCCTCGCACAATACGAACCTGGCCCGGCTTCCGTACCCCGTGCCCCCCAGCCCTACCACCCGGGCAGGCCGTGGCACATCGCAGACAACGGTCCCCTGTTGGTCGAGACCTGGAACCCCGGAAACGTCAATACGGGCAATCTCCGCCCGTCCCGTCCCCTGAGCATTCGGGAGCTCTTGCGGCCCTCCTCACCGAACGGAGATAGTGCATCTCCCGCACGCCGTGCCCCCGAGCTCGACGACCCGGCTATGGTGAGATACTGCGCGCGTCACGGTAACGTGCCACGTCCGGGCATGAGTAATCAGAACGTCGATACGGGTGATCTCCGTTCGTCCCGTCCCCTGAGCGTTCGGGAGCTCTTGCGGTCCTCGCCGAACGGAGATAGCCCACGTCCCGCACGCCGTGCCCCGGAGCTCAATGATCCAGCCATCGTGAGAGCTGCCGTGCGTTACGACCCCGTGCCGCATCGGAGCACAAACGGCAGAGACGTCGATACGGGTGATCTCCGCTCGTTCCGTCGCAAACGCGTTGAGGAGCTCCTCGCGTCCGCACGCTCCAGCCCGGCCAGGCAATCAGCACCGGCACCGGCACCGGCATGGGCGGCAGCAAGAGCACGGGTACAAGCACGGGCACAAGCACAAGCCCGAGCACGAGCGATGGCGCGAGCGCGAGCGCTACCGCTACCGACACCACCACGAACGCCCCAACGGCCTCACCCCATCGAACAAGCCCAAGCCCCGCTAGCGAAACGACGCCGACTATCAGAACTTGGTAAGAGGCTAGTCCGGACCAAGGAGCATTTCCAACGACTTCTCAGAGAGCGGAAACGTGAAAACAGCGATGCCACAAAGAAGAAGATGGCCGAGGCCGAGGAAGCAGCTGGGAGTCAGTGCCAAGTGGGGCTTGGCGGCCGGTGTACCTTGCCCCTTTGCACGGATCCGGATTGTGAGTATGCCTCTGGTGACACGGAGGACGAGGACGAGGATGACTCGGACACGGAGGATGGCTCGGGGGATGAGGGTGAGTTGGGGAACGGCATGGAGGTTGAGGCTGCTGGGCGATGCTTGATTATGCTGCGAGAGACTGGGGTGAGTTAGTTTATATTGATCTCGGGTTGGTCCATATTGGTCTTGGGTTGGTTTATGTTAATCTTGGGTCGTTTCTTTTGATCTTTGGTCGGTCTTATTGGTCTTGGGTTGGTCTTATTGATCCCGGTCAGATCTTGTTGATCTTGTGTTGGGAACCTGGAAAACGGTGTATGGGAGTTCTGGTACCTTCTGGTGCTTGTCATTTTGGATATGCAAGGCCATAGTTTCCACGGTTGGGTATCGCGAGAGCTTCAAGAAAACAATGGTCCGCGATTTGGTGTTTTGAGTAGGCTGGTGCCCTTTTCTTCGCGGCTATCATAGAATGTCGTCAACTAGGTAAAATGCAATATTCTCCCACCACAGACGACCTGTGCCTCACCTAACCGCACCCTGCCCCAGGTACTTCTCCAGATCCTGGTTGCCAAACAGCTGCTGGCGTATTATCTCGGCCTTGTGTTTGTCCTTTCGTGCTTGTTTCCTGACCTTCCCCGCGTCGAGGAGCCGCTCCTTCTTCTCTTTGGGCGGCGGCAGGTTCTTGGGGACGTGGACGCCGACTCCCAGGTTGCTGTACTTGGGCGTGGCCTTGATCGGGAAGGTGATGCCTTGCTCAGCGGCGCCGAGTCCCTTTCTCGCGTCCGGGTCCCATCCATATTGCGATAGATAGGATAGACCCATTCTTGAACGGTCAAGTGCCGACGGCGGATATGAGTGCGGGAGACAGACCTGATGGGCAAAGGACTTTTCATGCACCTTTTTCCCGTCTGTCTTGCTGGTGGCAGTGGTGGTGTTATCCACGTCGCTGGAGCCAGCTGATGCCGGTTCTGATTCTAACGGTAGTCTGCAGACCTCGCAAATGACAGCACCTGGTTCCCCTACATTGACAGCGTTTTTTGTGGTCTTGTTGTCTTTTGGGAGAACCATGCTGAGATATAGGTCTGCTACATCAACCTGCTGGGTCTTTGGGGCCGTAACTTGGTCCGTCGAGTTGAGGCAGCCATCGCCGTCGGATGCTGGGACAAACGCCACCGTCTTTCTGTGTAGTCCGCTCCCAAACGGGCGCTTGTGCTGGAGAGGAACCTCATCGTAGTCGTCATCGGCATCAACATCGACGTTGACATCGACATCGACCTGACTCCCGGCGGGCGTGTCCATGTTGGGGATGGAGATGGATGTGATCTCGTGTGAGTTTGGAGTTTACAGCTTTTACTGACCCAAGCTCACGGAAAAGGTCTTGAAGATGAGATGGTCAGGCAGCAACAGCTAAGGTCAAGTCGGTAACGCATATGCACCTTCCAGTTGCCCCCCGTGTAAGATGCAAGGAAGGTGGGGCAAAAAGTTGAGTCGAGTCAACAGTCCCGTCGGAGATAAAGTTGGGGCCTGGTCCCTGGCTCGCCTGGTAGCGGCAGGGCGCCGATGCGGCTCTTCCACTAGGGTAGGCCGCTAATTTCGGCCCCTGACAGGCAGGGCAGTGACGTATCACCGTGCCACCTCCCTAGCTGGAGTCCTCCAGTCTTGTCACCAACCCGAGACCAAGTTGAACAGGCAGGTACGTACGACGATGGACCAACCCAATTGAAGTTCGTGCCATCCCATACTGTACTCAGTGAAACCACAATTCTAACCTCGCATTTTTGCTTTCTTTTCTAGTTGAGAGAACACACTGTCCACAGAACTGAACAGCTTAATTCAGGTCGCCCACCGACATGCCGTCATAACCTCCATCCACACCCGACACAATGCCTCTCCCGTTCCTCGCCCATGTCTTCTTCGAGGGCGCGCCGTCGTGGGTGCCCGACCCATGGCTCATGCTTAAAGTCGGCAGCGCTCTCGGGGCCGTCGCCCTCACCAAGCGGTACTTCTCGGGCGCCGTCAACCTGACGGACCGGAACCTGCACGGGCGCGTCATCCTCATCACGGGCGGCACCTCGGGCATCGGCGCCGTCACCGCCTACGAGCTGGCCCGCCGCGGCGCCCAGATCGTGCTGCTCACCCACCTGCCCCAGACGGACCCTTTTCTAGTCGACTTCATCGACGACATGCGCGAGCGGTCCGAGAACGACCTCATCTACGCCGAGACGGTCGACCTGAGCTCGCTGCACAGCATCCGCCTGTTCGCCACAAAGTGGGTTGACAACGCGCCCCCGCGCCGCCTCGACAGCATCATCCTGTGCGCCGCCACCCTCACCCCGCCCGGCGCGCCGCGCACCCAGACCGCCGAGGGCATCGAGACCACCTGGATGGTCAACTACCTGGCCAATTTCCACCTACTAGCCATCCTCAGCCCGGCGATCCGCGCCCAGCCCTTCGACCGCGACGTGCGCATCATCATCCCTACCTGCTCCGCCTACATATCCTCGCCGCCCCTCGACGCCGTCATCAAGGACAGCGAGTGGTCCCCCAGCAGGGCCTACGCCCGGAGCAAGCTGGCCCTGATGGTCTTTGCCAAGGCCTTCCAGAAGCACCTGGACGCCTACAAGCGGCCCGACGAGATGCCCATGAACGCCCGCGTGGTCCTGGTCGACCCGGGCTTCACGCGGACGCCCGGGTCGCGGCGATGGCTCTCGCGCGGGTCGCTGTGGGGCATCGTCGTCTACCTGGTGCTCTACGTGTTTGCATGGATCTTTATGAAGAGCGCCGAGATGGGCGCCCAGTCGATACTGTTTGCGGTAATGGACGGCGGCCTGCTGCGCATCCCCGGTGGGCAGATGATCAAGGAGTGCATGCGGGTCGACCTGGCGAGGAAGGACGTCACGGACGAGGCGGTGGCCAAGACGCTGTGGGAGTCGAGCGACAAGCTGATTGAGAAAACGGAAAAGGAGCAAGCTGAGAAGAGGGCAAAGGCGAAGAAGGAAGAGGAGGAGAGGGAGAAGAAGGCCAAGGAGGAGGCGGCGGCTGCTGAACGGCTCGAGGAGCTCGAGTCGTTGCTCAGTACCATCAAGAAGGGGAAAGCAAAGGACGCGGCGCAAAAGGGGAAGAAGCCTAAGCCGTCCTCGAAAGCCGTCAAGTAGGCAGTCATACCGCAAGTTTTCTCTTGGTGTTTAATACAATGATGCTCCAAAGTTCTCTGATATTGGTGTGTATGTTATGTGCATGTTATGTGTGTGAAGTGAATGAGGAGGGGACGTCCTAATATCTTGGCACTTAGTGAGAATTAATACTAATAACCAGCTCAGTCAGGAACTTGCATTCTCTATACGAGACTCAGGTTAACGAAAATCTCAGCAGTATTTTGCTCACATATCAGCCATCCCTCACCTCGAGAGAGACCGATGAGAATGGCAGACCGCAGAAAACATCAAGGTAATTCCTTTTATCTGTCTATATGTCTATCTAGAAAGAATAACGGAAATATTGTACATGGATTAAAGTGACAAAAAAAGGAATACAAAAAAGAAAAAGAGACAAAAAAAAGAGACTCAAAGATGAATCGAACCCATTGCTAGAGCCGGGATTTGCACCCAGGTTTCCGCCTTATCCGCAGTGGGAGGGCGACGAGTTAACTACTACTCTACTCCAGCTTCGCACGCTGCACACTAGGCCACCGTGCCGAGAAAGTTGATGTGTATCGGTTGTCTGGTTTGCCGTTTTGTTTACCTCGGTGAACAACCTGAGGCGGGCATAAATCGCCCAACCGAACCATCTCCCGAGAACCGACTGACCGGGATTATGTGCAAACAAAACAGTGACGGGGAACGGCAGAGTGGCGGTGGGATTTTATGATTGGGATGATGCTGTTCTGAAGCCAAAGTATGTATTATTTGTTTGTTTATCGGGTTGTTTGCTTCCTCCCGCGCGTAGCCAAACTGGCCACAGAGAAGGAAAAGGAATAACCAAAATCCCAGGTGGGCCATCAAACTTTGGATTTACTTCCTTGAACCTCGCACAATACAAAACAAAGGCATGCCTTTCTAGGTTGTATCAGCCAGCCAGACAGACAGACACGCAGACAGCACCAGCAGTATCATACATACATAGGTACGAACGAACGAACGATATGGCCATGCATACATGTACACTAGACATATAAAGACACTGCTGTCGTAATACAGACGATATATATAGCTCGACAATGACCGACTCGACCATAGTATACCAGATATGCACACACACGGACAGACACGGAGAGAGACAGACAAGATCCAACACAAACATACATGCCGCGGTGGCCGGGTGGTATCAACGAACGAAATCTCCCCAGTCAATCACTACCAGCAGTCCGACTCTGCGGGACCCAACCAACCAAAGTCTCCTCCACGGGGAATAATATAACCGTGTTTTCGCCTCGCACAGCGCAATGCAAAACGAAAAACGAAAAAACAAAAGACGCGAAGTGACCATCCAAGGTCGCTCGAACATGACAAGCAAGACAAATAAAACAACAAGGTAGGTACACACGTTCCAAAACTTATCATCCCTTCATCGCATTGCGTTGCATCATATCATACCCATCCTCAACACACCAACCCACCCCGCCCTCCGTTCGTACATCGACCTCGTATCTTCATATACATATATATATCCCATCATGGCAGTCGTCGTACACATCCACCCCCCTCCCCAGCCCCCGCTCAACTCCCCGTCAACTTCTTCCACCAACTACTCCTCGGCGTAGTATCCATAAACATCGAATTCCTCCTACTATCCCGCTTCCCATCACTCCCATCCGAACCGCCGCGCCCAGCGCCACGTTCCCTCTCTCGTTCCCTCTCCCGCTCCTCTCTCCTTCTTCTTCGTCGTCGCTCTTCCTCCGCATCCTCACCCGCGATCTCCACCTCCGCATACTTTGACCGCCGCCTGGCTCGCCTTGCCTCACGTCGCGCGTCTTCATCATCGACAGCTTGGTGTTGTGGTGGTGGTGGCGGCGCGACGACGTCATCTGGGTTCTCAACCGGCGGCGGCGGGGCATCAGAGTGATCCTTCACCCACGACGACGTGCCGGAATGCGGCCACGAGTCGGTCTTCATCATGCGCGATTTGCTGGGATACACGTAATCGTCCGGTTGTTCGGATCTGCGGCGGGAAGATCGCTCCTTGTCTCTCCCGCTACCGCTGGCTTCGGCCTCACGCGCAGCGCGGCGGGCTTCCCGACGTCGCTGGCGTTCTTCGTCTTCGTCGCGGTCAGCTTGGTCAGCTGGCGGCTGGCTGCGCCGACGTTCGTGCCTCGCAGCGCGGCGGGCTTCGATTTCAGCCTCGGCGGCCTGGCGCTCGGCGCGCAGTCTGCGTCGCTCGGAGCGTTCGGCTTCTTTCTGTTCGGCTGCGAGGCGGGCTTCCTCCTCGCGCTGACGCTGGGCCCGGCGCTCGGCACGGCGGGCTTCCTTTTCTTCTTGGCGGCGTGCCTCGTCTTCTTCTTCTTGCTTCTTGCGGCGCTCGCGACGGGCCATGTCCTTGGCGCGGCGGGCCTCCTCTGCTGCCCGTTCCGCCGCCTCTTTCTCCACGCGGCGAGAGCGGCGGGCTGCACGGCGGGCTTCCCGCTCGGCGTCTGTCATGGGTGTCTCTTCCATGCCTCGCCTGGCTCCCTCATCTTCCGTGCCTGTGTATGTGTTGCGGCGCCGCGGTGGCTCGGGGCGCGCGTCTGGCTTTGGCGTGAAGACGCCGCCAAAGAGAGACGTGAAGCCACCTGACGGTGGTTTCTTTGCGCTCGAGTTCGACCGCTTGAGAGGGGGGCGCGAGGGTGTCGCATCAGCCATGTCGACCATGACAATGTCGTCGTCTCGAGAGTATTGCTGGTGGAGGGGTGGCAAGTCAGCATACAACCTCTGGAGTTCAATCATTCTGTTGTAGAGTAAGGGGGTTGGATGTACCCTTGATCGCCGACGTGCGGATCTGTCTGCACCAGGTGTCGCATCGGCGGCGCCAACCATGACGATATCGTCATCCTCGTCGGCAGCTGGGAAAGTGTTAGCTGGCTGGGCATTAGAGCACAGGTGCCGCGGGATCTCTGGGTGCTTACGCTTCTTGCTGCGCTTGCTGGCTGACCTCGCAAGGCCGGCAGCGGCAGCGACACCGACCCCGACGCCTAGAATCTTGGCTGCTTTGTCTGCCATCTCGGGGGGTGGGCTGATGATGCCGTTCTTCACGTCCACCGACGCCCTGCGCGAGCTCGACTTGCCGCTGGCGCTGCGCTTGAGAGGAGCAGGCGTGGAACGCGAGAGCGGCGGCGTGCTCGCAAACACGCTGGCAAAGCGCGACGCCGACGGTGTCTCCTTGGCGCGGGCCTTCTCGGTCTTGTCGACCTTGTCGGACTGCGAACCCTTTGACGACGTCTTCTCCGCCTTGTCCTTGTCCTTGTCGCCGGGTGACGACGTCTTTTTGCGGGCGCTGGATTCCTTCTCGGGCTTGGACCTCGACGACGACTTCTTGGGGTCCTTGGTGGGCGTCGCTGACCACATGCCCCATGACGAGCCTTCGCGGTTGATCTTGGGACGCTCCTTCTTGGACGGCTTGAGCTCAGTCGACGAGGTCAAGGGCGCATCGGGCACGGCGGGAGGTGGTGGTGGGACAACTGGCGGCGGCGGCGGCGCGGCGTCGACGGTCTGGGGAGAGGCTGAAGACCTCTTGGACTTCTTGCCGGCTTTCTTCGGGGGTGCCATGTCGATGATGTCGACTATCTCGTCATCGTCGTCGAGCGGGAATGCGCCGGGGAGACCCGAGTCGGCCGCTCGGTTGTAGGTCGGACGAGAAAAGTTGGCAGGGGGCGGCGGTGGCGGCGGCGGAGACAACACTGGAGAAAAGGTCGCAAAGTCGTCAAAGCTGGCTTCTGCCTCTCTTTCCTTTTCCTTGGCCTTGGCCTTGTCCTTGCTCTTCTTGCTCTTCTTTTTATCCTCCTTGGACGGTGGCGCAACGGCTGCGGGCGGCGGGGGCGGTGGTGGCGGGGGCGGGGGCGAATCGTCAGCGTCCTCGTCTGGGGACCGGTAATTGTCGTTGTAGTCGTTGGTGTAGTCGTGGATGTTTTTGGTATTATTGTTGTTGTTGTAGGCGTCGTCGTCGTCGCTGAGGTCGCTGACCTGGTACTGCTGGTACTTCGGCGCCTCCTTCTCCTGGACGGGCTCGAATGCTTTGAGACGGTCAGCAATCTTGCCGCCCACCGCCTTCTTGGACGCCGACGACGGCTTCATGGACTTGCTGGTGGTGGGAGTGGGTGTGGCTGTGTCAGCGTCCTCGGTGTACGGTGAGCCCGTCTTCCACACCTCGGTGGCCGCATAGGCAAACACGCCCGCGCCAATGGCCGCGTCGCCGGCGCTGGACCCTTCCAGAAGCCTGGAGGTCTTGGACTTGCTCTTGGAAGATGACTCAGCCTTTTTAATCTCCGGCGCTGCTGCCTGCGAATGTGACGTCCATGGGTCAGGTGCTGACACCACCGGTACCGAGCCCTTTTTGGACTTTGCCCCGGCCTTCTTGGACGCCCCCCAGAAGCTAAAGGGATCATCGGCCGCGGGCGCCGGCGATGCTGCCACCGGCGCCGGGCCCTTGACAATGACGCCGCCGTCCCGGTCCCGGTCTTCGGCCAGAAGTTCTTCAATCTCCTCGGCTGTGAGATCGATGCCCTTGAGCTCATCGTTGTCGTCCGCCATCTTGGCCATTTCCTTCTCCTTTTCCTTGGCCTTTTCTTTCTCCTTCTCCTTCTCGGCCGCCTTGGATCCCTTCTTGGACTTCTTCTTGCCGCTGGCAGCTTCAGCCTCCTTCTCCTTTTCTCTCTCCTTCTCTCTCTCCCTCTCTTGCCATTCACGCTCCGCCGTCTCCTCGGCTTCACGGATTGCCTTTTCCTCTGCTTCTTGAATCTGCGCCTCGAGCTCGCGCATCTTGGCTAGGTCCTGCTCCCTCTCCTCAGCCTCGCGCTCGGCCTTTTCCTCGGCGCGTTTGTTGATGCTTGCCGTGAGCCGGTCGAACTTTTCTTGATCGCTCTTGCCCAGCTTCTTCTTCTTGGTCTTCTTTGCTGCCAGTGCTGCGAGCTCTTCTTCCTCCCGGGCAATGTCGGCAGCCTCCGAGTCTTTGCGTTCTCGCTCTTCGGCCTCGAGTCGCTCCAGCTCGTCGATCTCGCGCTGCAGCCGCTCCTCCTCCTCGCGGGCTGCTTGCTCCTCGGCGTCTCGCTGAGCTTGCTCCTCGGCCTCCTCGGCCTCCTTGGCTTTCCGCTTCTCCTCCTCCTTCTCGGCCTTCTTCTTTTCCTTTTCTAGCTTTTCGAGCTCCTTCTTGCTCAGCTTGGGCTCCTTGTCTTTGGACTTCTTGTCCTTCTCCTTTTCCTTGGACTTGGTCTTGGTGAGGCTGAGGCCGAGCGAGCCAGATTGCTCCTCCTCCTCATCCCACGTGAGAGCCTTGGGTTCGGTCTCGGCTGCCGCCTCTTGCGCGTCCATCGAAGGTGGCATGGGCGCCGGCGGTGGCGGATCGTCAGCGAGCGCGTCCTTGCGTGACTTGCCCTTCTTCTTCTTGGAGCTGCTGCCAAACGCCCAGTCATCTTCGTCCACCTTGTCCTCCTTAGTCTCTTCGACCGAGTCGGGGTGCACGGATTCGAGGCTAGTCTCCT